TGCAGTACTAGTTGGTGAAGGCATCGGAAGAGGCAGATCTTCGATCCGTCGTAAAGATATTTTGGCAGGAGTGCGGGCTTCATTCAATGCCCAATGGCAAAAATAGAAGAAAAAATATTATAGCTTGGCTTTCAAGACCAGGATGATCTGGAAAGTGTAATGCGTGGATGAAGTACGAAGACACCTTACGAGAATATGTCACCCGAATAGTCATAGAGCTATACTCAACGCCTACTAGTGGGTCCACCGGAAACCTAAGACATCATCACTTTAAGGCTATGACGAAGCCAAATTCCAAGTGCTGTTTAACACAGAAGTCAAGGATCTTGTAGTTAGTCAACTGCTATGTATCTATATATACTATTAAAGCTTCTCATTTAAGTGACGACCACGACAAACGTACAAAGGAGTATGATTTGTGGTCAGCTGCTTGAAATGTTTGGTTTGTTAGTTGGGAAAGTGCCGCTGCCCAGTCGGCTAATTGAAAAATAACTAAGGCTCACATCACCGCCGTCCAGGATATGCCAAGCACGGGAAAAGGACCGAAGAGCTCAGTTCCTTGCGACATGTAACACACTAGCCGTTTACAACGTTTATGGCTAGAGAGACTCTGTCGCCGTATACTCTCGTTCACTGCGGCGAACGCCACATTTTGAATGGGAACTAGTTTCTTTTCATTTCTTTGTTTTGCGTCCATGCTAAGAGAGAAAAAAACGACCATGCGCATAAGGACGCATACTTCAAGCGTTTGGAATGCCCTAACGAGCGCTGCCACCGCTACGGTATTAAAGTCACCAACTTCAGCGTCAGCGTCAGTAATGGTGGTATTTTTTGGTACAATAGTCGGAAGATTCAGTCACCACGGCCAAACTTCTTCAAAAGGTTCGCGACTGATCGACTTTACCAGGTGATAAAAAATGGTTGTTATAGACAATAGGTAAGTTCGTACCTAGTCTTCTGCCTTCCAAGCAGAGATCGTTGAGCTAAGAAATGGCTTATATTGCTATAACAGGAAGATCTATCAAATTTTCGGAAATTAGTCACGCGGCAATTAAAGCAATAAAGAGCATCAAAACGAAGTCCACGTATGTAGAAGGTAATGAAAAGGCATATGCACTAGCTCGCGTTGATGCCGAGAGCCATGTGGTCACCCCTCTCAGACCTCTTCAATTGTTTTCAAAAATAGTGTACCATGGAGGAATACTGAAGACCCTGGAAGACTTCCACTGAAAGACCTATCACCATGTTATTGAAGGGCAGTGTGGAGTGTAGACAGATGAAACTGTTACTAACTTCGGACCAAGGGAAAAGTGAAGTCGACTTAGTGCAGAGTATCCGGCCTTCACGGTGCCATTGGTTCTTCCAAATATACAACTTAAACAATTTATTTGGGATACACGGGCGAGTTAGCTTGCTCCGTCGCTTAGGTGCCTCCTCCTCTCCTTCCAACCAACCAACCAAGTCAAATTCTTTTAAAAACTAAAATTGGGATTTTTTGCTATTGAAATTTATACATAATGTGCAATATGTAGATATGTATGTACAATGATAATTTATGCTAAATTGTTACTCGCTTTTTATTATGTACAACAATATTTAGTTGTATGGTCATAATTTAATTTGCGGTTTGCGCATAGGCATTCCTTTTCCCTATGCAGACCCGTTCCACCGCCACGCACTCACTTCACCACACTTTCCACTTCATTTGGTTGTAGGCAATCAGGCACTCGCTCACAATGATTCTTTATTCCGTATTTTCGTTTTTTTTTTTTAATCTTATTTTGGTTTTGCTTTTGGTTCAGCACCGTTAGAGTGGTCATTTTAAAATGCCGGTTGCCGTTTACCGTTTGCCGCATTATGTTGCAATAGCACCCACCCACATCCACATGCATAGGCATACAAACATAGCGCATTCCTTTGCAGTTAGCTTGTTGTAAGGCTGGAAAAATATGAGACCACATGAACAGTTGCAGCAACATGAACACGTGCAACAATGGCGTGCAATATATTTATGTACATCTAGCGATCTGTGTGTGTGTGTGTGTGTGTGTGTGTGTGTGTGTATGTGCATGAAAATGTTGTTGTGTATGTGGCAACCACATTGCGCATTTTACGTTTTACTTATTGTCAGTAAGTGGTGCATGTTGCAAGTTACAGCCGCACAATACTTACACACACAGAGACATATATATATAACGGGTGGACCGGCGAAAATTTAAGTTTATCAACATTGATGATGCAACCGCTGGCTTCTCGGTCGCTTATGCTATTCTGGCTGTCGACCCGAATTTTAACACTTTTCTGATTGTGTGGCCCTTCATAGCTGCAAGGGGGACTCTAATTTCGTGTTTCCAGGTACGTAACATCGCTGGATGCTTGGCTTTCCATTCATCCTTAACGGTTTCTCACAAAAAATAATTTAATGGAATTAAATCACAACATCGAGGCGGCCAGTTGGCATCGTCGTTACGGCTAGTTATGCGATTTTCGAACAAAGCGCGTAAAAGATCATTTTAGTGCTGTTGGTCTGGCATCTATCGCTGTCTGGTTGGAACTCTGATCATGACACCGTTACGATCAGCATATACGATTCCGGGAGCTCCTTCATCGTTTTTGTAGAATATCAAAGCAATGATGCCGACGGCCACATTTCGTAGTATCAAACGGTCACTCGAAGACGATGTATTGGCTGAGTTTTCTGGGCCCCAGTTGCGGCATTGCTATTTGCCAAAGTGACAGCCGACAGCATCGGTTGGTCAGAAGACAACAGTTTTTGGACCGATTGGACTTAATGAGCCTTCAACCGGAAGTCTTTGTTCAAAATTCCTCGTAAAGCAGAGTAGATGTTGACGGCTGCTTGCGCATTTTTTGAACTATGGCTGCTATATTTTTCCCTGAACTCACAGCTCGAGTGAGTACGCGAGTTGTTTGTTTTGTCCGATAACGAACGATTGATCCACGTACTCCTCGGAAAGCCGGTTACTTTGCCATAATTTCCTGCGTAGTTTTAGTTTGGAAGCAAATTTTCAATACGAGGTTTGTCTTTTATATTTCGAGATCTGACAACCCTAGTTTTGCAAACTGGCAACATTAACCTCATTTTAACATCCGAGCGCCATTTGGCCAAAAAATGGATATAAATCAACGAACATTTTCGAGAAATTATTTTTGATAATTTTCGAAGTTGATTAACTCAGCATCAATGAACTCAATTTTAGGCGATAAAGCTTCACCTGAGATCAGTGATTAGCAATGGTATGGGGAATTCAATAGCGATTGTAGGTAACTCTAAGACGAATTTCGTGAAGTTCGCCTAGAATCAGTTGCTGTTACGGAAATTATTGATGTTGGGCGCAAAACGATATTGTAAGATCATCATGTGAAACATTGTGAGATGGAGCCAACTATAGTCATTAGTGGAATCAGCATACATTCATTATTGCCCGATCATTTGGCTGGATCTCACATAATTTGTTAATTGCCTCGTGCCAATGGGTCAAGAGGAATTAAAAAAAAAAAAAAAAACTAAAGCTACTTCGAAACATGTTTATGATATCGTGGCAGCTGATGAAACATGGATTTAGGTGTATGAGTTCGACAATAAAAAGCTGTCGACTGAAAAATGAGTCCAATAAAAGTTGTTCGCGCACAAAGCTGCTTAAAGTCAATGGTTGCCTGATATTTGGAAAAACTGGACTTGTCGCAACCATATAACTAGAACAACTCAAAGCAACGAATTCTGAGGGGTATACGAGCTTTTGCTTGCCAGTTGTCCTCTAAAAAACAAGGAAACCCATCTAAAGACGAATCACTCTTCACCACGGTAATGCGAGCTCTCGCAATTAACTCAAACAATTGCATTTTTCAGTACTCAAAACATCGATTTGATGAATCATCTACCTTATCGTCCTCACTTGACACCAAAGGAAATCTTTTTATTTCCGTACGCCGAATATAAACTGACAGTTCAACGTTTTTTGACAACTGAAGAGGCGATTGATAGGTTCAGAACGCTTGTTTTGGAGATAGCTGAATTGGAGTGGCAAAGGTGTTTCAGTTTCAGTTTGGTTTAATTGGCGGCCGCGGTAGCCGAGTGGTTAGCATTGCGTACTGACATTTGGAAGGCTCAGGTTCAAATTCCGGTATCACCAACATCCGAAAAATGATTGAAAATTAATTTAAATAAAAAAATTAAATTTTCTAATTGCGGGCGACCCTCGGCAGGGAATGTCCACCCTTCCGAGTGTATTTCGGACATGAAATAAAGCTCCTCATAAAAAACCACCAGCCGTTCGGAGGCGGCTTGGTATAAACTGTAGGTCATTCCATTTGCTGGTAAAACATTAAGGCTCAAAACCACAAATTGGAGTAAGAGCTCGGCCAAAATATCGCTTCAGCGGTTACAAAAGTTTTGAAAAATAATAAAGTGTTGTTCTCTAATCTTGAAATATAGATCGCAACCTTCGTCTTTCTTAATTTTCTTCGATCATGAAATTAACCTTTTCGTAAATCACAAGCCTGAGTACTGAATATTTGGCAAATCACGAATCTCATTGTTGTTCGAAGCTTATGTAAGCTGTGGCGCATCAATCAAACGGTTGATGGCACACCCTTTACATATTGTATACTGCATTGCCGGCATGTTGCTTATTCCTTTACCGCTAGTCGCCTGCTGTCTAAGTGATTGTGGGTGGTTTGCTTTAAAAGCTTGGACAGTTTGTGGTTTCAGTAATTTTTTTATTCTTTCTTAAGCACTAAATTTTTCGGCACACTCACTTAATTGGTTCGGCACTAGGCTTTAAATAAACACAAAAAAAAATAAAGAAATCTTGCATACTAATTTTTGTAAAATGTACCTTTTTAAGGATTATTCATTTGATCTAAAATACCTAGCTTTACCTTCAGTTTCATGCATTTTACAAAGCTGTGATCCATTTCACTTCTCACTCACTCTACACTTACTACTCTTCACTCTATATGCTATCCTGTCTATTGCTTACCCTTTTGGCATCCATGCTCCGGCAGGTGTTGCATGATTTATGAGATTTCTATATTGAACTGTCATCGTTTGGCGAGCGGTGATGATGTTTGTTGTTGGCTTTGTTGTTGTTGAGCGTACCAATGAAATGCTGTTGACATGTGTGAGCATTTTTAGATGTTGGTGGTGATACGTACATACATATGAGGATTATAAATATTTAATTTACACCATACGAATATAGGAAAATCCTGCACTTAATTGCATCTTCGGTTCGGCTTGCACTTGTTAGCACAGAAAATTAATAAAAATTTAAGTCATCTGAATATACGGCAATTTAATGAAAATGAATTTATTTACATTGTTTAGAGAGAATAACAACGTGCTGCCACCTATATTGAACTTCTACTCAATAAACAAAAGGAAGATTTGTCCAAGCGAGTGTTAGCGGTAAATCGTATGTTAGTCTAAAATTAAACTCAGTCATATTTTCGGTCGGTCGGGGTCATTCTGGTATAAAAACTTGATTGTCGTGATGCTAAATGGTATAGAAGCTTTTGACGAGGACGATTAGGTGGGCAACGCTGAGTTCATTCCAGCAGTATTCGTTGGTAGAAGCAGAGGAAGAGAAAGACCTCCAGAAATGTTAAAAAAATCAGAGAAATATTAAACTGACTACACTTTGATTTAGCGAATAAAAGAAACGGCTGGTGCGTTATTGTTGATTCGGTCATATATGTCTAAACGGTGACGCCGGCCATGAAAAGGGGGTATTAAGGTATGTTTCAAATATTTATTCGCTAAATGTTTTTCATTATATTCAAATTAATTCAATTTAATTTAAGCTGATTTAATTTTTAGAATAATTTTCCTATATTTTGTTGGATTTTAATTTATTTTATTTCATTATTTTGAGTTAAATATATTCTTAATTTGAATTGATTTGATTTGATATGACTATATATAATCCCGTTGTATTTTAATTTAGTTCATTTATTTAGTTTGGTTATATTTTATTTAATTTTAATTAAATTTATTAATTATTTATTTATATTATTTTATCTTATTTTCTACATTTTTTTTAACCTTTTTTATTTTATTTAATTTCAAACGGCATTAATTAAATTTTTATTTAATTTGTTTTGTTTTATTGTAATTCAATTTATTTCATTTGGTCTCATTTTATTTTTTTTATTTTACTTTTTCATTTGTTTTATTTTATTTATTTATATCCTTTTTACTTATTTTACTTATTTTATTTTATTTTATTTTATTTTATTTCATTTCATTTCATTTCATTTCATTTCATTTCATTTCATTTTATTTTATTTTATTTTATTTTATTTTATTTTATTTTATTTTATTTTATTTTATTTTATTTTATTTTATTTTATTTTATTTTATTTTATTTTATTTCATTTCATTCCTAATTTTAACTTTTTTAATTTATTATTTCAAATGGTTTTATTTTCTTTATTTTATTATATTCTGTTTTGTTTTTTTATTAATTTGCTTAATTTTTTTTGTTATTTTTTTTATATTAAATTATTTTATAATCTTTATCTTCATTCATTTCAAATTGGTTTATTTTATTTTAAAATATATTTTTATTATTTAAATTTTTTAAAATATATTTATTTTGGTTTAATTCGTTTTACTTTTATTTCGTTTAGTTTTACTTTTTTTTCATTTTTAATTCAGTTTAAAATTATTTGTATTTCGTTTAGGTTATTGATTTATCAGAAAGTCTGGCAACGCTGATGTCTATATGTTTGTACAAGCGCATAAAAGCAAATTAAGTATTCTCATCCGTATAAAAATATCTGTTTCTGCTCACATAATAATCATATTTTTCCACTTTCCTTAAAACCAACCAACAACAACCACAGCAACAACTGGAATCAGGCACTGGCGCTATCTGCCCGTTGTTGTTGTTGCACATTGACATATCTGTTGTTGACTTTTGATTTTACTTTTTTTGATTTCTGTTGTTGTCTGGTCAGCAGCAACTCAGAGGCAGCTGTAACCAACAGTGACATCAACATGTCGCCGTTATGTTGCTGCTTGACGTTGTCTTCGGTGTGTTGGTCGTTGTTGTTAGTGGTGATGGTACTGTTGTCGACTGTCGTTGGCATATGGCACATATGTAAGTGATATTTTTTATGACATGCAACACAATACAATTTCATGGCCGTCAACGTGCGCTCATCACCCTCCACCGACCGATCAGCAATTCGGGTACAAAAGCTTATGATTATGGGTAGGAGCCGAGCTGGACCTATATACATATATTGAAGCTGGACTAATTGTTATGCACAGCTAAAAGCCATCATATGAGTATGTATTCATATATGCATGTGATGGGTGTCTCCAATTCCTTCTTTCAACGCTTGAATGCTGTTTTGTGTCAGTGGCAGAAAAAGTAAAAGATCACAAATAATGAAAAAAGCGTAGAACATAATGGCACAAAAAAAAAAAACACATTGGTGACCGAAAAGCCTGAAAGTAGAAAAAACTATTCAAGGCTCATAAATTTTTTATGGCTCTTCCACGTAAAGCGATGCGTGTTGCATGATTAATTGCGAATTTTCGTTGCCACATTTGGCTAACGGAGCTCCAAATCACCCACCCCTCCAGACTTTAAGCTTCATAGCAATTAGGAGAAACTTCTTTTGGCTATTTTTAGTGAAATTATTCTCATGAGACGCGTTCGATTTTGCATGAATCCCAGCACCTGATTTTGACTATAATTAATTTAATAATTACCACAGGTTACTTGGCCGCAATGCTACTAATAAATTTTTCAAATGTTCAAATAGAAATATCGTTTGTCAATTTAATTGTATATTAAATGATTTTAACAAAGAGGAAACATCGTTCAGGTGTAATTAAGACATTTCATGGCGCTCCCAAGATTGAACTAACGAAACAAAATAGAAAGACTGTGTACCTATAAAGCTTTAAATATTTTTCGATATATTCGAACCTTAACCAGCAGGACAAAAGTACATATTTTTCCCATAGAAATTGTTTCCTGAGACTGCACACTTGTGAAGTCTTGAATCACCGTAAAGAAAGAGAAAGCTCCAGCGAACCACTCCGACATATTTAGTCCAGGGCTTCATAAAGCCTAATTAAGCATCTATTCAGCAGAGGATTGGCTGCGACCGGATGCCTATTATGAGGCAAGCGGTTGGCTATAGAAATATAAACATATTCGCCTAGCTGTTTGTTGGAACACATCGCGTAGAAACCAGCTTCTATGAAAAAGAGACAGCAGCCTCTAATGGGAGATACCACTTCTGTTACGACCACTGCAAACGTATTAACGACTATGATTTAAGAGCATGCTCCTGGAATATCCAGGGAAGATGCCGCCGGCTAAGTGATTCTTGTAAGACTAAAGACTAACATCACTGTCGTTTAAAAAATACGGATGGAGATGAGTGGGTCCTTGTAATATTTACTATAACGGTACTAGATTTCAGCACAAGAAAATTCATCTCAAGATCGAAAAACTTAAAACTAGATCGTTCATATTGTGATAGACGGACGACATATCTCCAGTGTTTTTGATGTTCGTACGCTCCGAGGAACCAACATCGACTCGAATCACTGTCTTATAGTGACGTGTATGCGAACAACCCGCTGTTTTATATCATAGAACGCCCGCCCGCAAACACAAATGATGTTCAATGTGAAAAACTGCGATCAAAACAGAACCCCGAACGGTTTTCAACTGCACTCCTGCTCACTGAGAGCGCACATTATCAGCTCAGTATAAGGGAAGTGTGGGACAACATTTCAAGTTCAGGTGCAAACGAAATGATTGGTTTCCGAAAAGGTCTAAAAACAGCTGGAGCGACGAGGAATGTTAGCAGTGAATGTCAACCCCTCCGAGTGTATTTACGACAAGAAATAAAAGCTCCACCAGCCGTTCAGAGGTGGCTTAGTATAAATTGTAGGTCCCTCCATCTGTTAGAAATACAATGCATCAATGATTTCATATTTAATACACGAGTCTCTAATTTGATAGAGACAAGCATACATATATATGTAAGCAATTTCCTGCATCCGCAACAAAATTAATCAATTGCCATTCGGGTTATCATTGCAAGTATGAATTTCGATTAATTTGGCGGTCAGTCCCACGTAGACTTTCAAGCTGCTCATACCCTTTGAGCGATTCGTGACACAATCGCTGCCGCTACACTCCTGCCCCCCTTCCAATAAGACTGCACAGCGTTGCCACCACCCACTTTGCGTTCATATTTCATGCGGCATTGCAATGTGAACTACTTAATGGCTACAGCTGTACGACTAATACTCCTGCTTGTTGAGATACGTCTACAAATCGCCATATTTAATATATGTATGTATTTGGCAATAAAGCGCACGATTTCACCTTAACTGCCTCTCAGCTATAGCTAGCTAGCAGCGTCATTTTTGGCCCACCTCTGCCACTTCAATTTGTTATTTATGTATGTTTGTTTGCATGCTTTTTTGTAAGACTCACCGAAATATTGCTGGCAACGTGAAGAGCGTTTCGAAATTTTAAAATTGTTCGCATTTTTCGTAAGAGAATTTATTGTACTGATTATTGATACTTTTGGCCATTGTCAGTTTGCTGATTTGTGCCTATAGAATTTCGTAATTTATTTTCATTTTTTGACTTGCAAAAATAATGAGTTGACGGAAAAATATATACAGATTTAAGCCAAGTTTCTTTATTTATTTTTCTACTCGTATGCTGAGGATTTTCTCTAATAAGTTGATCCCAAATGTGCTCAATAGGATTTAGATCTGCTGACTGAGGGCGTGCTTAAAGCTCTCTTGGACGATTGTAGTAAAAGCTGTCATTGATAAAGTCATTACACAGTTGGGTCTAAGAAGTCGAAGATGAGATACGATGCTCCGCACTTCATTTCAAATATTTCTTTAGGTTTCGTCGATTCTTCGTTCCAGTAATTTTGATGTAAAAGATACGCCACGTCATGTGAGCGCTGTTTCGATTACTCAGGAGCTAAACATTGAACAAAAACAGTTTCGAACTACTTGAATAAGGCTGGTTACACAAAAAAGCTTGATGTTTGGGTGCCACAAGAATTAAGGAAGACCGAATTTTCATCTGTGAATTGCTGCTGAATCTTGGCAAAATCGAATGGTGGCTTGAGATAAAAAATAAATCAGTTACAGTGACGTCAAACAAAAACGGTCGGAGGTCAGTGAGCCGACAGGATTGATGGGCAGGGAAGGTTTTGTTGTGTGTTTAATGGAACTGGCAAGAAATTATCCACTATGAGCTACTCCTCTAAGGTCAAGTTAATAATTCGGGTCTGTACTGTTACCAATTGGAGCGTCTAAAG